GACGCGAGGGTGATTCAACCCGATGGAAAGAGAGGGTCCGACATTGGGATGGAACATCCGGGGCTGGTAGGAGATGGTAGCGGACCCCTCTTTATTCATTCAATCTTCCGCCGCAGCCTAAGAAAGGCTTCCACGTTTCGACTGAGAAGAACCTCGGCACAACTTCTATTCTATATTCCCTACATATTTTGAATCGGCCATTGCATGTCACCATAAACGTTCTATAATTGTAATTTCGGTGTATCTACCTAGTCATTGCAAGGGTCATTCCCAAGAAACTTATAAAGGTGCATGCACCAAGCTAAGTTAGCCGTTTCCTCAAACCAAATCCCCCCACCTTCGACCCTCCCGCCACGATAATGGCCACGTCAGCTTTTGGAGACAGACCACAGAACAAACTAGTTTTGTTTGATGTTGATGATACTCTTACACTCCCTCGTCAAGTGAGTCTATTGAATACGTCGCTCTACAAGTCGTCAAATTGACGATTCTATCCCAGCGTATCACCCCTGAGATGGCCGAGCTTTTGAAAGAACTGAAGAAGAAAGTAGTAGTCGGGTTTGTAGGAGGGTCTGATCTGGCTAAAATCAGCGAACAATTGGTCATTGATGGACTCCGTGGTGAGCTCTGTGCACTATTCCATAGCACATATGAATGACCAAATACGCACAGCTATAGAGTTCTTTGATTATGCATTTCCTGAAAACGGGCTCTCTGCCTACAAAAGTGGAAAACCCCTGCCATTCCAATCGTTCATTAATTGGCTGGGCGAGGAGAAATATAAAAAGCTGGTCAACTTTATTCTCCATTACATAGCTGATATGGATATTCCTATTAAGAGGTTTATTCTTACCATTTTCCAGTCTATTTTTGCTTAACTATGCCCAGGGGTACCTTCGTCGAGTTTAGGAACGGGATGATCAATGTCAGCCCAATAGGAAGAAATGCATCGTGAGCGTGCCATCTATCCTGATTCTAATACTCACACTGCACAGTATTGCAGAACGTAACGAGTTCCAAGCCTATGACAAGGTGAACCTCATTTCGAAGTGTCACATGCTGTTGACCTTGTTGTTCAGGAACACAAATTAAGAGAAGATTTTGTGAAAGTACTACGGGAGAAATTTGCGGACTATGGACTGACCTATTCCATTGGCGGCCAAATATCTTTTGACGTCTTTCCGAACGGATGGGACAAGACTTATGCCCTCCGTCATGTGGAAAATGAAGGATTCGAGGAGATATATTTCTTCGGTGATAAAACATACAAGGTTTGATATCTGACTTGGCTATACACAATCTAATCCTCCTTATAGGGAGGGAATGACTACGAGATCTATTCTGATAGTAGGACAATAGGGCATTCAGTGAGCGGTCCTCAGGATACCGCACGCATAGTAAAGGAGCTGTTCTTGTGAGAGTGTGTGTTCTACACAATGTTCTTGTTTAGTCTCCTGAATGCGTGTACCTACAAAGGAGCCACTCGCCTTGCATCTTTGAAATAAGCCCCATTGAATCCAAAAAATGACATCCACCCTGTTACTGCATATTTATAGGAAATCTGCAGCTTTAGGTCGACTCTTCATACCCTGGTTCATGGGCTGTTTCACCTCATTGGAGGCAGTCGCCTCATTTCGCACAGTGGAAGGAACTTCCTTTTCCACCCACATTTCATCGTCATCCTCGTCAACATCCATCTTGATGATCTTCTCAGACTCCTTTTCTTTCTTTTTCTTTGAGCTTTGCCCCTCTTTATCCTTGTCCCTTTTTCTCTTCTTAGAAGGAATCACGGTTAAACCGACATCATCTTCTGCAAAGGAGAGGGTCACGGCTGCCTTTTTCTTTTTCTCCTTCTGGGGCTTGTCTGTATATTTATCCCCATCTTTCTTATCATCACGATTGGCTCGTGAAATGAAGGTCGGACGAAATGTTGCCAAATCGATAGGCTCCGAAGTGGTTATTGAAGTCGATCCTTCCTTAGAATCCTCCTTCAACGTCATTGATGGAGCTTGTAAATTTTGAAGGATCTGGGTCTCAGATGGTTGATCTTCCATATCATGGTCGCTGTCTTCTTCATCGCTCGCGAAAATTGCTTTGAATATATCCATGCCCGGTCTCTCATACGTCAATGTATCCCTTCCTTGAGAGTCGTCTTCTCCCAGCCCAATTTGTGCTGGCATTTTCTTCTCTACTTCAGAAGAGTTCACGTCTGCCGCCACTACTCTTATGGCACCACCGCTAGAGGTGAGGTTTGCACCAGTTGAAATCAAGGAAGAAGAAGAGGTGACACCCGTCATGTCTCCTTGGGGTAGTTCTGTTTCGCTGATATTTGGTTCGTTCACCTTAGGTGGCCGTACTCCAAATCGTTTGCTCAGTAGCCTTGCAGGGGCCCAATCTTTTTGCTCCCTTGTCATAGCGCCGAACATACCCAGCTTTGCTGCATGCTCTTTGGGTGTCTCTTCGACTTCCATACGTTTTACGGCGGCATCTTCTGCTTGTGACTTGTGCTTGGCGTAGGCCTCTTCTGTCGGTTGATAAAGGCCTTCACGTTGTTGTGGGGCGGCTTCGACGGTAGTGGAGCTGCGGAATCGACTAGCCATTGCAGCCGACATGGGTTTGAATATCTGAGCAGCTTTTGCGAAGCTTTCCAATTCGCTATTAAAATCTGCAATGCTTTGTCCTGGTAATGGTTGCAAATCGACACCTTGTGAGGTTGATTGGGCATTGAGATATGATGTATATCGAGCTTGCTTAAGCTCATTGTCTTTAAATGGCTGATAGCCAATGAGTGCGGCTTTTGCCACTGCTGGATCGACACGGGGTATTTCGACCACCTGGATTGGTACTGGTTGGGCTGGAGTGGTGTCCTGGGACGCCATCTTGTCCCTGAAATTTTGCAATCTCTCTCTGTCTTTGGTGGAGAGGTAGTCCCAAATAGACTTCGTCGCAGCTGGTAATGGTGTTTCGCCCAACATTGAGCCACGCTAGCGGGTACTCTCATCAGATTAAACCACAATCAAAATGGATGCCAAACCTCGTCAGCAGGTATGCCTTGTTTCCAGTCATGATATGGGATGGCGGATTGTGTCGTGGGCTTTGCAGAACTTGAGGATTCTCTGGGGTCTAGTCCCCATACCTTGGCGGGATTGGGTGCCCAGCCATCCGGTACAACGGGGGAATCGAACCTACCATAAATGAGATGGATTTCGATAGAGTGTAAATCCAACATACTTCTGAGTAGCCGGAGCGGGGGTGTCTACGATTTGAAAACCGGATAGTAATGGTGCTCCATTACTGAAAAAGCCTTGTGACCGGGCTTTTGAACCTTGCTGCACGTATTCAGTCCAAGTTCTAATCTAGCCATCGAGCGACTGACTAAAGGTCCTTTATTCCCGCTCTTTATATTAATATTGTTTGAGTCGTCTTCATCTATATTCTCAAACGCCAGCTTGCGACCGCCAGAAGGAATACCGTTATCGTAGACGTCTATATCATCATCATCTGCATCATTCAGAGCCCCTAATCCAAAGCCGGCTATCATCAAGTTAGACACGCACCATCAAATCAATGGAATAAACTTACAACTTAGCCTGGGCTGACCAAACTCAGTCGATGAACTTATTTCAGGACGTAGACCAGTCATTGGGGTATAGCCTAACCCATGAAAATCATCTTTTCTAGATGCTATTGTCATTTTGACATCCCTAGGGGCGTATGTATGTCTCTTGGCTTCTGGGTCATCTGTAGAGGGGAGGGCGTTCCCTTCCAACTCTGTGCGACGCCTGAGTTGCTCATAGGTTAGGCGAGGGCCGACACCTTGACCAGGTCTCCACCCCATCCTCTTCAATAGTTGGGCGCCAACAGATTCGGTCACAGGAGGAAGCATACTTGCCAGAGCGGCAGATATAGAGCTATTTGAGATATTAGACGAAATAGGTTCCTAGTTCAACAACCTCTTACTCTGTTTCATCAAGACCTTGAGGCACGTCGATCCCTCTGCTATCAGTTTCGTCACCATCTACGAGTC